AGCATGTTCTGCAACACGAGGGACACGCAAGAAAGGACATTCACTGCCACACAGACCTTGCAGATCAACGACAACATCTGTTCCACCGGAGAACTCGTAGGAGAAATGGCCGTAGGCCAGGCCATACTCTGTGGCTTTGTACTCATTCTTTACTACCTTAGTGTTGTTGGACAGCTTCACAAACTCCCCGAGGATGTAGGGCTCCACGCTTACGCATCCTTTTATGGTTCTGTCCTCCAGGATCTGAGAAGAGAGTCTTAATGACCATCATGCGAGCAGAGAGGAAATGATGCGTCACGCAGAAAAGGCCTCAGAGTTGTCCTGCAGCAAACTGACTTGTCTGCAAGAACCTCACTGGCTGGGTTCTCATGAGGCTGGGCGATTTTTTTAGTGCTCAAAATGGGTCACTTGGCTGTTCAGATTTTATAACTATCCCTGAAAACAGATGTTCATATACTGTTACATGATATAAAAGGCTCAGTAACTCCAGGGCTCCATTTATGAGTGAGTTTCTGAGTTCTAAGGGGTAGCTTTCAGTTGCAAATCAAAATTGACTTAAGATACTCTTCCCACCAGTCCCTTTGTATTGCTTAGAAGACAAGTTCTTACCAGGAGCACTGCAGATGGGATATAAAAGATTTGGGTAGGGAGCTTTTGCTCGTACAGCCTTTTGTTGAATTCTGTTACGTAGTACTGGGCAGTCATTTGCCGTTCCACGTCACTGAAATGATGGAGAAGTCCTTTTTCTTCTTTATATTCCTTCCCAACATACCTGAACCAAAAGAGAGGTGTTCAGCAGAGCAGACTGCATGTGGGAAGCCCCACTTGTGATACAGAAACATCATCACAAAGCAAAGCTTGGCTGTTCAGAAGCAAAGCCAGCTGGTTAGGGTTCGTTTAAAATGGCAGTGGCTAAAGTTGTAGCTTTGTTGGTTTTTTTTCTTCTTATATAGCTCTTAAAAGCATGAAATGCTGTACTGATCCTACTGTACTGATCCTGCTGTACTGATCCTGCTGTACTGAT